GTGTTGCTAGAAGGAGGGCACGAGAGGGCCGGCCAAGGCATTTTTGCCCACGGCCGAGCAAGAGGGAAGGGATTTCCTTCTTAATTCTTGCTTGATTAGATTGATACATCTCCTCTCTTTATACAAAGAGGTTTACTTGACTCCCAAACAAGGCTTACTTGACCCCTAAGCAAGCGACCCTTATCTCTAATTAACCCTAAGACTAATGGGCCCATTAGGCCCATTACGTACTCTAACAGACAAACACTTCTGTACAAACAGTCCACATGCTTGTTATACAAGACACATTTGAGAAAGCAGTATGAGATAATAGGCATTAACCAAAATGCCACACTTAACCATCAGTTTCTTCTGTAAAAATTTCTATTAGCCTAGTAGTCCAGCACTCCAGCTAGTTATACCCGGTAAAGGGGGGTTAGTATGTTCCCTTGCAAGGACATAAGGCATGTTTGGTTGGCTTCCACACTTTGCCATACTAACTTTGGCCACAAGTGTGGGGACCAGTTTGGCCACCACAAAAACTATGGCATGCCACACTTATGGCACAAAAGTGTGGTAAAGAGTGGAGGGCAACCAAATATGCCCTAATGCTGATAAATGTGTGTGTGTGCCGAGTGAGACGTGTAGTTGAAAAAAAAAGCTATTAACTGTGTATTTAGCCAAAAATAAGATGTGTATTTTCTATTCAGCAAAATACACAGTGTTTAGCTAAGTGTCCAGCTACTAGTTTTATTTACAGTTATTGCGAGTGTTCACGACATGTCCCTCCCATACACATGCATACATAAACAGGATTGGAACATAATCGCCATAGCAAGTGGACATTTTAATCCACATTTACCAGATGTAGCCAGTTGGAGCACCACACAAACAGAAATTTTACAGAACAAACTGATAAGTTAGATGGCAGATTATTGATGATGATAGCAACGTATCATAAACTTCTCCTTGATCAGGCATTTAGACTGAGACAGTAAAAACAAGGGGCTCATGTAAGAAACAAGAGATCGATTGATTCAGGCTTGATGTCCCTTGGGATCACCTTGCCGTCTATTTATATTGCATAGATCGATCAGAGATCGGTTACATGATAGGACACGACCAGAGATCATATACAGACTAGGAAACGGCTTAAGGCCCGTATACAACATGGACTCTACGTCCTGTACACATACCTATTCTAACACATACCCTCAATCATAACTTGTCTATAAGTTAAGATTGCGCTTGAATACTTCTAACTGTCTAGTAGCAAGTGCTTTGGTGAAGCCATCCGCTACCTGGTCGCCGGAGGGAATAAATCTGATCTCAAGAAGCTTGTCTGCAACTCTCTCTCTAACAAAGTGATAATCAACCTCAATATGTTTAGTCCGAGCATGAAATATTGGGTTAGACGAGAGATATGTTGCTCCAAGATTGTCACACCACAGACATGCGGCCCTAGGCTGATTGACTCTGAGCTCCTTGAGAAGTGTTTGGATCCAAATGATCTCAGACGTTGCATTGACTAGGGATTTGTACTCCACTTCAGTGCTTGACCTTGACACCGTTGCCTGCTTTCGTGCACTCCAAGAAACAAGATTGTCACCAAAATATACAGCAAAACCACCGGTGGATCTACGATCATCAGGACTACCAGCCCACATCTGAGAAGGCACTGACAAGAGTAGACTTGGAATTTGTAATTTTTAGTCCTACTCCAACCGTACCTCTAACATATCGCAGAATTCTCTTAACTGCAGTCCAATGTACGCTAGTGGGTGAATGAAGAAACTGACAAACTTTGTTCACAGCAAAAGCAATATCTGGTCTTGTCAAGGTCAAGTACTGCAATGCTCCCACTATACTTCTATATCTGGTTCCATCATCATCACTGAGCCGGTCACCATCTTCAATTGATAATTTTTCTGAAACTGAGAGTGGTGTATCCGATGGCTTGCAGTGTTGCATTGCAACTCGCTTCAGAAGGTCATTAGCATATTTCTCCTGTGTCAACAATATCCCATTATCTTTCCTTTTCACCTCAATGCCAAGAAAATAATGGAGATTTCCCAAATCTTTAAGAGCAAAATCACGTTGCAGATCTTTGAGCAAGGCGCTAACTACAGAATCGGACGAACTTGCGACTATGATGTCATCCACATAAATAAGAAGGTACATTGTAATCCCACCTTGATTTATGAAGAACAATGATGTGTCCGCCCGCGAAGAGGAAAATCCTAGAGCCATTAGTTTTGAGCTGAGTCTAGAAAACCATGCTCGAGGAGCCTGTTTCAGGCCATAGAGAGCTTTATCCAATTTACATACATGTTGTCTCCTAGTCGGATCTTCATACCCTGGAGGTTGCCTCATATACACAGTCTCTTCTAGAACACCATGGAGAAACGCGTTCTTCACATCTAGTTGACGAAGGCTCCAATTGTTGGACACAGCTAAGGCAAGAATCAACCGAATTGTTGCTGCTTTCACAACTGGACTAAATGTGTCTTCTTAATCAATCCCATATCTTTGTTTGAATCCTTTTGCAACCAGTCGTGCTTTGTATCTGTCAATCTCTCCATCAGCTTTCCTTTTTATTTTGTAGACCCACTTGCAATCTACTCCCTCCGTCCCAAAATTCTTGTCTTAGATTTGTCCAAATACGGATGTATCAAGTCACGTTTTAGTATTAGGTACATCCGTATCTAGACAAATCTAAGACAAGAATTTTGGGACAGAGGGGGTATAATATTTGCACCCTTCTGAGCAGGAACAAGGTGCCAAGTATTATTTTTCATCAATGCCGAATATTCCTCATCCATAGCTTCCTTCCAATTTTTATCCTGAAGAGCTTCGGTGATACTGCTTGGTTCACCTGTCGTGCACACATTGCACCACCTAACTCGTCCATCTGTAATTACCTTGGGTCTGAAAATATTGTTGTGTGAATGTGTAACAGCACCATCTAGAACAGAGGGCAGTTGTACAGGTTGGACAATTTCCTGGACAGAAGAAGCCACAGAAGATCTAACCTCTTCATCCGAGGAGGACTGATCAGCGCATGATTCTGAGGGCATACGTGCAGGAGATGCACCTGCCCCACGATTCCCATGCATGGGCATGCTCGGTTGGGCATGGGATGGGTTGGCCCCATGCACAATACGTGGCTGCTGGTGACTGGGCGTGGGCGCCTGGTTTTCCAGCCTGCCTGCAGAGAGATAGGATCCCGCAGCTGCAGGTTCTGCAGGCGCGCGCGATCCCGATGTTGTAGGTTCAGACGTGCGCGATCTCGTCGGTGATCCCCTGCGGTCTACCTCGCTCTCTGTGCCATGTGCTTACACATAAAATCATTGCCACCGGAGACACTTTGCATCAAATTTGGCTGACATTTTTCCTGTTCCTGAGTATTGTCAACACAACCATCAGGTTCATTAGTAGGATTATTCACATGAGCATGCAAATCATCACCCCCTTGATCAGTACTCGTAGGGTTTTGAAGGTTAGAAGGTAAAAGAAGAATCTCGGCTCTAAGACGGGCTCCGGCATTGGGATGTAGTTGGGCAAAAGGGAAAACAGATTCATCAAAAACGACATCACGGGAGATATATATACGGCCAGAGGAAATATCAAGACACTTGTATCCTTTGTGTTTGTTACTATAGCCTAGGAAAGCACACCGAATAGAGCGGAAAGCTAATTTTCGAGTGTTATATGGTCGAAGATTGGGCCAACATGCACAACCAAAAACACGAAGAGAAGAATAATCAGTTTTTTCATCAAAGAGTCGTTCAAGGGGAGAAAGCATATTGATGACCCGACTAGGAACACGATTAATAAGATAGACAGCGGAAAGAAATGCTTCATCCCAGAACTTAAGAGGCATAGAGGCATGAGCAAGCAATGCAAGTCCAACCTCAACAATATGACGATGCTTTCTCTCGGCGGAACCGTTTTGTTGGTGTGCATGTGGACATGAAACATGATGAGTAATGCCGATACGTTGAAAAAAGGAGTTGAGTTTGTGGTACTCACCACCCCAGTCAGTTTGCATAGCTATGATTTTGGTGTTAAAAAGTCGCTCAACTAAATGTTGAAAATCATGAAAGCATTGAAACACATCGGACTTGTTCCGTAAGAGATATATCCAAGTAAATTTACTATAATCATCGATGAAGCTTACATAATACTTATTTCGACTAACAGACTCGGGTGCTTGACCCCAAACATCAGAAAATACTAGCTCTAAAGGAGCACTAGATATACTTGAAGACCTAGGATACGGAAGTTGATGACTTTTAGCCTTTTGACAAGAATCACACACGGACTCACTAGTAGACTCAACGGAACATGGTAAATTATACTTCTTAAGGACTTGTTTGACTATTGGAGAGGCTGGATGACCAAGTCGATCATGCCATCTTGTTAGAGACGGCCTTGAAGCACCAAAAACTTGAATACCGGAGGAAGGAGGTGAGCGAGGCGATTTCAATGGATAAAGACCACGCTCACATGGGCCGTGCAGAAGAATTTCCTTCGTTGTTGGGTCCTTAATGAAAAAAGAACGAGGGTGAATTTCCACAATAGTATTGTTATCAGAAGCAAAACGACTAGCAGAAACTAGGCTTTTGGTGGCTTGGGGAACATGACGTATGTCGTTAAGATGAAAATTTCGAGTATGATCAAAAGAATTAACGACTACATGACCAATGTGACTAATAGGCATACCTGCACCATTAGCTGTATGAACTTGTTCAGGACCGTTGTAGCAAGTACGTGTTGTCAGCTTGTCGAGCTCCCCTGTAATATGATCAGTTGCTCCGGTATCAAAGTACCAATTTGAGTCGACTCCATATGAAGTAGTGGCTGCTCCACCATATCTCTCTTCAGTGACATAATTTGGGTCAAAACGATACCAGCACTTATGAGCTGGATGCCCAACCTTACCACAAATCTGGCAAGTAGGCCTTTCACCGCGGGGAAGGTTCGCTCCTCCTCCTGGTCCTGGTCGTCCTCCACCGCGATTATTGTGGGAGTAGCTGTTGTTCCCGTGGTTGTAGTTGTTGCCGTAGTTGTTGTTGTTGTAGCCTCCGCGGTTGTTGTTGCCGTAGCCACCGCGGTTCCCGCCACCATTTTTTGCCTCCACGACTTCCTTTGCCATGTCCTCCTCGTGCAGCAAGATTTGCCGACGAATTATACTGTTGTGACCCAGAATTTTGTGACTCCAGGCGCGCTTCAAAGGCAATGAACTGAGCATAAATTTCACTCAAGGAATAGGCATCGGTTCTGGCGGCAATGGATGAGACAAAAGGATTATATTCTGCATCCAATCCAGCAAGGATTTGAGAGATGAGATCATCGTCTTCCATCTTCTTTCCTGCTGCTGTAAGTTCGTCCGCAATGCCCCGCATCTTCGTGAAGTACGCGGTGGCGGTCATCTCGTTCTTCCGAGTGCCAGCGAACAGGGTCCGAAGTTGGATAATTCGTGACCGAGAGACAGAGGAGTACATCTCCTCAAGGGCTGACCAGACCTGCGCGGATGTCTTCATGGAGACGACTTGAGTCAGAACTTCAAGCGACAGAGAGGTCAGTAGCGAGCCAAGAACCTGCTGATCTTGGGCTATCCAGCGAGCGTACTCGGGGTTGGGCACCGTCTCGGTGCCAGAATTGTCGGCCTTCTGGACTTCAAGAGTCTTGGCCGGAGCTTCGAGCGTTCCGTCGAGATATCCGTCTAGCTGTGCGCCACGGATCGGGGGCAGGACCGTCGCCTTCCAAAGAAGGAAGTTGTCGCGCCCAAGTTTCTCGCGGGAGTTGTCGCCGAGGGTCGTCATGGGCTGGGCGGCTGAGGAAGAAGCTCCTGAGGATACGCTGAAGGGAACGAGAGACATCTAGATGTGATGAAGAAGAGAAAGCTCTGTTACCATGTAAGAAACAAGAGATCGATTGATTCAGGCTTGATGTCCCTTGGGATCACCTTGCCGTCTATTTATATTGCATAGATCGATCAGAGATCGGTTACACGATAGGACACGACCAGAGATCATATACAGACTAGGAAACGGCTTAAGGCCCGTATACAACATGGACTCTACGTCCTGTACACATATCTATTCTAACAGCTCACAGAACAACGTAAGCAATCGGAATCAGGTGTTGATAAGCAAGCGTACCTCCTGGAGACCCCCGCGAAGCAATGCACGAGCACGTTGCCCGCCTTCCTCCCCTCGTCGATAAAATCGAGGCACGGCTCGAGGTGGTCGAGCAGGTTCTCCTCCTCCGTGTCCTTGAGCGGCACGGCCATCCGCGTCACCCTTAGCCCTTCCCCGGTCCTTTCCACCACCCGCATCAGCCGCCCTGGGGCCACCGCCGAGGGCGCTCCGTCCTCCCCGGCGACCACGCGGCGGGCCTCCTCTGTTGGTAAGGAGAGGCCCGGGCGGTAGTCGGTGAAGAAGGAGATGGAGGCGGAGCTGACGACGGACAGGACGTGGGTGATGTATGTGCCGTCCGGGAGGGAGGCGGTGAGGGCCGCGATGGCGTCGTTGATGTCGCCGAAGTAGAGGTGGTCGCGGACGAGGTCCGGCATGGCGGGCGGGACAGGGGCGTCGCGGGAGGTGGCGGCCATGGGGGGCGGTGCGGACGGGGAGGACGAAACCCTACAAGCGGAGGGTTTGGGGCACTTGGGGGTTGCCCTGCTGCTGCTCCCTGCTGTTTTCGCTGAGCTCTCACGCGGTTGCAGAATTACTTTTGAAACAGAAATTGCAGTTCGAAATTGCAGAGTTTAGTCAAACTAGTCCTGAATGACCAGGACTCAAATGAGTCAACGACTCAACGTGGTGACACTCGGCAGGACATTCGTTGGACCTGGCCATGGGCAGCCCGGCCCGGTCGGCCCGACCCGACCCGGCCCAACCTTGTCCATGGCCGGACTCGGGCCTAGATTTTGAGCCTGAAGCCTGGGCCGGGCCGGGCCCGGACCCACCATATTAGCACTTTAACAAAAAGGCCCGCCCGAGGGCCGGCGGTCTTTTACACTGGCGGGCCGGGCTTGGGCCTGATTTTTAGGCCTGACGCCTGGGCCGGGCCAGATCTGGGCCTGGTTTTTTTTCATCGGGCTTGATTAGGCCCGGCCCAGCCCAAGGGGCCAGGTATATTCGCTTGGTAGTACTGCATATTATTTTAGTACTTTTCTCACTCACGCGCTTGGGAAAGTTCAAAATGGACGAGACCAACTCTAACTCATGACCACAAGATGTTCGGCGACGTTCGGGATAAATGGACATAAATTGCGGCCCAACACGCAGGAGTGGACGAACAAACGTTTGTTTTTTGTCCCTCGCCGACTCATTCCCGACCCGTGTTTGCATCGAAATGGACAACGTGCGGATGGGCGGAATGTGTGCCCTTGTCCTTCCCTGGCCCGCCCGTCGGGGACACAGACACTCCTTTTTTCTCTTCCCCACCCCTGCGCCCCCACCCCCCGCCCCGGCCATAGCCGCCGCCCATTTTCCCGGGTTGCATCCTCGCTGTTCACCCTAACCTTGTCCTCTCTTACCACGCCGACGACACACACCCGATAGATCTGCGGTCGCCGCCGTTGTCACTGGATTTGGCGCATTCAGCCATCGGCGACTACGCCTTGCCATGGATTGGCCGGGTGCCGGACCGCACAGCCCCCGCAACGCCTCTGCGTCACATGCAGGTACTAACTCTGCCTCCAGCCGCTCGGATCTATGTTGTCGGCGGTTCGCCGGCAAAGACACGCCCGGCCATCGCCCAAGCTCAGCGTTGGACTAGCAGCTCGTCGGCTCACCGTTGTCGGTCATAAAGTGTGATGATTGTCCGCGGCAGGTCGTGAGTCGGGTTTCTACCATGTCGGAACATCTCGGATGGGTGTTCTTCAAGTGTAAAAAAGATGGGGTATGTGCTTCTTTTGATTCAGTTGTGCTCGCCGGATTTGACGCATTTTCGGTAGCTTATTGCTTGTTCAAATTTGTGTGTAGGATGGGTGCAAGTTTTGGTATCAAGAAGAAGATTACATTGATCTATTGATAGCAAGAAAATTAATAGATGCTCGTGCACTCGTTGCTAGAATGGAGGCTAGAGATGAGACTAGAGGTGAAACAACATCGAATTCTTTCTAGAAGTTTTGGGATGAAGTACTGATTAGAGCTATATTCAATCCAGTGGATGCTAGGAGGATTCTCCAAATTCCTTTGAATTATGAGGCTTTTGAAGATTTTATTGCTTGGCATCACACCCGAACTGGTATTTTTTCGGTGAAAACTGCATACCACGCAGAATGAGCACATAAATTCAGAGGCAATCGAACTAGTCCTGGTCCATCAGTTGACAATCCGATTTGGAACAAGATTTGGCAGCTTCAGGTCCCACGAAAAGTATAAATATTTTGCTGGAGAAGTTTGCATGGAGTGGTCCCAGTTCGATCAATCCTAGCGAACAGACTTATCCCAACATCCAGTGAGTGTTCGATTTGTCAGCAAGGAGCCGAAGATATCCGCCATCTTCTGTTTCTATGTAAACCAGCTATTGAGATGTGGCAAAGATTGGGTATATACGATATTATAGTTGATGCACTAGTGATTGACCGATCAGGTTCGGCCATTCTGGAATATCTATTGATGTCCACTTCAGGTTCACTACCGCATGCTTCTAGTGTTGGGATTGGAGAAGCAGTTGCTACTGCAGGTTGGTACATCTGGTGGGTTAGAATGCAGATCACTAATGGAGAGAGGGTACCACCAGCGGGGAAGTGTGTTGCATCTATTATTTTGATTGCTGCAAATGCTACACGGAAAGTTTCTTTGTCGCCGGATGTGGAGAAGAAATGGACCAAGCCTGAACTACGTTTTGTGAAGCTAATTGTAGATGTTGCGTACCATACGGACGAATGAGCTGGAGCTGCAGCGGCTATATTACGCGACATCAGGGGTAATTTTATTGTTGTGTCATGCATATACTACCCTATAGATGCGAATGCTGTTACATCTGAAGTTGTGGCAACGAGGGATGGTCTAGCCTTTGCTAACACAATGGGATTTCATGCTATTGAAGCGGAATCAGATTCTTTGGAGGTAATCAATTTTTGCACTAGACATGATCATTGGTGGGATGCTGCAACAACAATATATGCGGAAATTTTGGACTTGGCTACGGATGTAGAGAAGGTCAATTTTATGCACTGTTTTAGAGAGGCTAATAGTGTTGCTCATGAGCTAGCTCAATTTAGTTTTCATAATAAAGTTTCTAGTATTTGGGATGGTGATCCCCCTAGTTTCCTCCTCGTTAAACTAGCCGATGATGTAAACATTATCAAACAAGAAAGAAGCATGCAAACTCGAAAAGCCGCAGATCAACAACGAAGATATAGAGAAGATATTGATCCAAGTAGTGGGAGGAGTTATGAAAGTTGATTATCTTTTAAAGTGTCTAATTGTGTTTTTTGTTTTCTTTGTTCTCACCCTCCTAGCGAATAATTGGCGAATTGTGTACTCCAATGGATCAAAATGTCGTTGAATGAAATAAAAAATTATGTTCCGATGGCCAAAAAAAGTATGCATAGAAGCTCGAGGTGGCCATGATCATATGCATCCGCACATTGGGCGCGGCCAGCGTATCTAGGAAAATGGCCGGAAGCCGCCCCATTGCCCTATTCAAACGGACAAAATGGGCGTCCGTTGGAGTTTGACCTAAGCAAATGGTTGCAAACTTACAATAACTAGTGCAACAAAAACATATCCGGGAGGAGAAAGAACCAGACGAGGGGATGGGAGGGGTGTGTAGACTTTTTTTTGCGTGGAACTGAAGGGCTTTATTCAATCAACCGAGCTCCGGTGCTGTCTGCCATAAGGCAGGTCACCAAGAACCCAGGGGGAGAGAACATCCAGCAGTCTGTCCCCTCGAGTGTGCAAGCATTTTTCGCACACAAGTGGGCAGGAACATTCGAATGCCTCTTTACATGATGGATACTAAAAGAAGTAAAACTATCTGCTAACCCTTCAATATCTAGAAGCACTGACGCTATCAAAGAGCGCGAAGAATGGCGCGAGTTCCAGAGATCGACCACATCTTGACTGTCAGTCTCTAACTGCACCCGCTCAAAGCCACGAAGCTTTGCGAAGATTACACCTTCACGGAGGGCTAGAGCCTCTGCGAGAAGTGAATCAGTGACGCCATGAAACGGCTTGCACCAGGCACCGAGATAAGTTGTACATGAACGAGCAACTCCTCCCACACCTGCGAGCCTGGCTTCCATAGAGATACCTGCATCAACATTGATCTTTATGAAACCTTCAGCAGCAGGACGCCAGCCGTGTCCAAGCAGGATCTTAGCTTGGTCCATAGGCAATTCTAGGATCGCCAGAGCCTCTCTGGTTCTCTTCATTGATTCCACTGGATCCAAGCTTTGTTTGTCATGAGTAACATTATTCCTAGACATCCAGATTGCCCACATTACCGTAACAATCTTTGCGCGATCGGCTTCATCAAACCTGGTGTCACATGTCCTTCGACCAAGTGGAGGGGTGAAGTTCCAGTAGCTTAATGCTCAACCACTCCCTCGCTTCCCTCCAAAACATCTTTGCATGCGTGCATTTTATCAATGCATGGTACAAATCTTCATCTGCATCAAGGCAGACTTTGCAGCGTGCCAACTGAGTAATGTGTTTGTATTTCAGAGTGCTCTCAACAGGTAGGATTTTCCGTAGCACTCGCCACCAAAACACACGAACTTTTGGCACGACCTTGAGCTTCCAAAGTCTGGACCAACACTGTTTTTGATTCTCTGAAGATTCTGTAACCGTCCCTTCCCCTAGAGCTGAATGCTCGTTCTGGTTCACAAGAGCGCGGTACGCGGATTTTACAGTGTAGTTTCCGGACTTTTCAGCGGCCCAAGCCCATGAATCAACCCCTCCTCCAACCCCCAAAGGGATGTTAAGAATAGCGTCAGCTTCTGGGGCTATAAAATTTTGTCTTACCAATTCAATCTTCCATGATCTCGTCTCAGCATCAATCAGATCTGCCACAAAAGGAATATTAGCATTACCGATTTGAAATGACGGTCGCAACGAGAGGAGGTCTGGTATCCAGCTATCATTCCATGTGGACACAGACGAACCATCTCCAATTCTTCTCACCAAGCCAGTTTCCAAAGCCTGCCCCCCTGCAACTATTGCCCTCCAAGTGGCTGGCGCATGTTTAGGTACTGTTGCATCCACGAACTCACTTGTTGGAAAGTATTTTCCCTTCAAAACGCGCGCGCACAAGGATTCTGGGTTCGTTATAAGCATCCAGCTGTGTTTGCCTAGAAGAGCTAGGTTGAACAAATCCAACTTCCTGAAACCCATCCCGCCCGCACTCTTTGGTTTGGTCAGAGACTCCCAATCGATCCAGTGTAGAGACCTGCGATCCACTGAGCTGCTCCACCAATATCGAGCCATGTTTGATGAGAAACTTTTGTAGATCTTCTTCGTTAGCTTAAAACAACTCATCGAAAAGGATGGGATTGCCTGCGCAATAGCTTTGAGGCGAACTTCCCTTCCTGCACATGAAATAAGCCTTTCAGTACCTCCTTGCAACTTGCCTCTGATACGTTCACAGAGATCCCAAGTAGCGTTTATTAAAGGCCTCTACTGAAATACCCAACACTGCTTTTAGCTCCTGCCGGATGGTGTCAGGTGTGTTTGGACGAAAATAAATGGAGCTTTTATCACGATTAACACACTGTCCCGAGCAGTCGCCATAGATCCTCAAAACCTCATTCAGCCTGAGGGCACTTGTCCCATCTGCTTTCAGAAAAATAAGACTGTCATCGGCTGTGTAGACTGTGCATGCAACTATGAGCAATGATGCTCCCGCGCTCAATAGTACAAAACGGCCTCAATCTCAAATTTTTAACTATGAAGGTACAACATGGTCAAACTGTGTACCACCTTGCTCAGTTTCTGGGTTGAATTCGGCTGTGTGCCGGAAGGACACACCGATGCGTTGAACCAATATAGTGCATAACATTTTTACTCGCAAGAGTTCAATTCTATTCTTTCCAGCACTGCTAACCCCGCTACTCGAGAAGACGCTCACTCCCCTATGAGAAATTCCAAAAGGAAACGCTTTTACACTGCACGAAAGCTCGAAAACTGGCTACATCAGAGCCTTGAAATTGCAGGCCAGGCATCAGATCGCGAAAGGCATTACACTGTCGGACCTCCCACCAACTAACTCCAAAGGTTTGCAATAAATAAATAGCATGTAAACAACAGCTTCCTATATATTTGATGAGTTCTCTTTCCGCAGCTTGGCTGGCCTCTCCTTGTGCGATTCTGCATGGCAAAGTAGCAGGTTTTTGTCATGTGGCCAACACAATTCAGTCCATGTGTGAGATTGCGCTACTCAAAATCTCCCAATATACTAAAACAACTGAATACAACCATGAACTACTCTGGTGATGAAGTAGACAGCAGGATTCATTGTTTCTTGGGAGGATTTTTCAAAAGCCGTCGAGGCGAGCGAAACCCCAAAGACCTAATAGAGAAAAAAAAATACCTGCATATCTCCTCTTCTTCTTGGCTCTTCTTCTTTTGCGCTCAACTTGTGTAAGCTCCATGTCTTCTTTAATATCCCCTTTCCCTTCAAAAACTTCTTCGGGAGCGAGCATTGCAGCATCTGAAACAGCTACAGGTGCAACCTGCAAGGAAGACAAGTCGTTACATGAATGAAATACTCAAATAGAATAACTTCACGAGAGAAAAACAATGATTGTGGTACCTCTTCCATTGCTAGAGCAGGTACATTAACTTGTATAGACATATCCTCAATGACCTGAAAAGACAACACTTGTCCTTCTTACCAAAAATTGCAAACTTTAGGTATTATACGATGCTGTCTAATAGAGAGCTATCACATACCGGCTTTGGGGCAAAGTGGAAATGAGAGAGCGCATCCAACTTCAAGCATATCCTCTTAAACAAATCATTTGCCTGAGTTGAACAAGAAGTTGGTCAGAATCAGGAAGTATCACTTTGGTAACACAAAAATATCCACATAGCCAGACTGATAGTTGATATCATCATAAAGACAAAGAGAACATATGCACATGGCAATAAACCATTTCTTCTCAGACTGAAGCAATCCATTTCTTCTCATTCATTACAAAATGGACTATTTTTCTAACACCGAAAATTCCAATAGCGAACTTCATATCCATCGCATGGCAATAAACCATCACTGAGCATCGGTATTAAAATTGTACTTCGTAATATGACAAGCATCTTGTGCACCACGAAAAAGTGATGATGAATATATTGACACTACAGTCACCAGGACAAGCAGGGAACATGAAAACTGCTAATTTAGATGGATATAATAACATCTGGCATGCCTTTACTGACAAGACAATGCAAGATTTGCTCCTTAGTAGACATTATCTTTCAATCCAACACAAATGATGTATCAGATGTTGCACAACAATTAAGACCAACAAAAGCAGAACAAAAGCAGAATAGGTAAATCCAACGTCACTCAGGTTTTCTAGTAAAAACAATTGATTGCTCACCTCATTCTTCAGTTCATCTGAAATAGCAAGTGTGGCAGGTGCAATGCCAGTTTTTTTCTTAAACTCATCCTGGAAGAGCAAAAGAATCAGTTAGTGGATGAACTATACTAAAACTGATCCCATCTACCAACTCATTTGGATTTAAAATAAGATCATAGTAAAACAATACAGACCTCGTAATGTTCAGCAAGACCCTTTTTGCTCTTGTTTTCATCCTGTTGAAATATAGCAACAATAGTGAATCACACAATTATCGTACTGTTATCATGAAAAAATTCTAGTTATTGCACCCGATCAAAACCATACCATCTCCTTTTGCTGCTTTGGAGCTTTATACGGCAAGGTTGAAGGCTTTTCAACATCATCAAAATGACCCTGCAGGAAACAAGAGAAGCTATCTCAATATTACTAGCAGAGTCACAAAACGAAATAACCAAAGAACTCCTCACAATTTCACTCTACTATTTCCCGGTATACTACTGTTGAGTGTTGACCCAGTTACGAACGTAGTGACATATCCAGAAAAATATTACCTCCGCAATTCTTTTCTTTATCATCTCCTCGAGAGAAGCTGTGACTTCCTCCGTGATTACTGGGGCAGGTCTTACATTATGCTCAAAATCAAGATCCACTTCCAGGGCACTATTTTTGGGCCTCCTGGAAGCATCAACCTACAAAAGGAACTCGTTTAAAAAAACACAATTGTAATGGTAATTAACTATTACTAGCACAATATTGTGAGTCAGAAATATGTCTCATTTCCAAAACATGCTATCAGCTACCTCTCCCTGCATGATCCATTTACTGGGTTCAAGACTAGCTTTCTCCATTAGGTCTATTTGGTTACGCATCTTCAAGAGCCCCTTTTCATGAGTTGAAAGACCTTGTTCATCCTGCATAGAAGGGAAAGCATGTTGATAAACAAGTATATGTGCATTACTTATTTCAACTGAAATGAGTACCTCTAAAGATGGACCATCATTTACATCATCCTTCTCAATGTCATCCACTTCCATTTCATGCAATTCATCCTTGAAGTGGACTTTCTTTGTGAAACCATTTCTCTTCTTGACTTGTTGCTTACGGCTTTCCTCAAAAAAATCCTCATACCTGAAAAGACGCTCTTAGCTGGTTAAAAGCACAACAAAAAATTCATGGCAACCAAAATGCATGTATATAACATTTTTCTACAGCCTAAGGAAGATTATAGAATAACCTCAAGTTTCAATTCTGCATTTTCTTTTATTTCTCAAGCTTCAGACTGTTTCAAGTGCACAGAATAATCAATATCGATGCACGTGAATTGTTTAAAACATTTGGAAGCATGAGAGGAAACTTGGTTCATTTCTGCGGCCTGTGCAACAAAAAAATAGAGCAGATAAAGCTGCCTTTTAGCCTCTTGTTCTCGTCGTTTTAGTTAGCCTACCCCACATTGTTTGTGGTAGGACTAGGGTTCCTACCGGCTCTACTCCGTAGGTTATACGGGCAGAACAGCGGAGGTCGGGGGCGAGCTCGCGAGCTCCGGCACGTCGGCGCCGTCGCGAAGGAGGAGAAGGGCGGCGGCGGTTAGGGCAGGAGGCGGCTAGAGTTTCCGGCTCCTCTGGAGCCGGGCAATAGGATAGAAATATCTTTCTTGCTTGATCTCAAACGATGTCTTACAACTAGTATTTATAACTTTAGCCTAAGATAACTTGCCTAAAATAACTTGCCTAAGATAACTTGTGGGTCAAGCCCCTAATACTAATGCCCGGTGGGCCTCTTTCGGGCATAGACCAAACCGGTCATAACATCTCTCCCCGCCTGCGCAAACAGCTCGTCCTCGAGCTGAAAGTCTGGATAGTGTTGGCGGAATTCTTCACGCTGCTCCCAAGTAGCCTCCTCCTCCAAAAGGCCTGCCCACTGAACGAGGATGAACCAGACGCCACGACGGAGCTGCGCCTGCAACACCTTTGCCGGCTCTGGAAGAATGCGACCATCGGCGATGGGAGGAAGCGCCGGAGGAGCCACCGGTGGCTCTCCACGGAAAGGCTTGAGCAGCCCCACATGGAAGACGTCGTGGATGCGAGCGCGGGCTGGAAGCTGAAGACGATACGCCACCTTCCCAATGCGCTCCAAGATAGGGAAGGGCCCGGCGTAGCGAGGGCCGAGCTTGCGCTTCGCGCGCGGGTCGAGTGACTGCGTAGAGCGGTGGAGAAGACGCAGCCACACCCAATCACCCACCGCGAACTCCGCCTCGCGATGATGATCGTCGTAGTAGTGCTTGGCCAGCTGCTGGGCCTGAAGGAGACGCTGACGAACCTCAGCAAGCATCTCGTCACGAGTGCGGATGAGGTCACCCGCAACCTCCGTCCGAGCTGTCTCCGGATCCACCGGAAGTATAGGCGGAGGTGGTCGACCATAGACCACCTCAAACGGCGTAGCGCGCAGGGCGGAGTGATAAGAGGTGTTGTAGCAGTACTCCGCCCAAGAGAGCCAGTCCACCCAAGCGCGAGGCCGATCACCTGTCACACAACGCAAATACATGGCAATGACCTTGTTAACCACCTCGGGCTGAACCGTCTGAGGATGGAACGCCGTACTCAGGCGGAGCTGGACACCCGCCATCCTGAAGAGGTCGCGCCAGACATGGCCCGTGAACACTGGGTCCCGATCACTGACGATCGAAGCAGGGAACCCGTGTAGACGGACGATGCCGTCGAAGAAGGCCCGGGCCACTGACGCCGCCGTGTATGGATGGCCGAGCGCGATGAAGTGGCGTACTTGGAGAAGCGGTCGACCACCGTGAGGATGACCGACTTGCCGCCCACCTTGGGAAGGCCCTCAATGAAGTCCATGGATATATCCGGCCAGACCTGAGATGGCACCTCCAAGGGCTGGAGTAACCCGGCCGGCCTCGGGGTCTCTGTCTTGTTGCGCTGGCATGTCTGACAAGACCTAACCCAGTCGCGGACCAAGGCGCGATCGCCAGGGATGTAGAAGTCGGCGCGAAGACGATGGAGGGTTTTCTGCATACCCTCATGACCCGCCGAGTGGGCGAGCTGTAACACCTGGTGACGAAGATCATCCTGCGCCGGAACCCGGCGCCCATGTAGGAGCAGTCCGTCAGAGAAGCGCCAAGGCTCCTCCAGGTCACCGGCCGTGAGCTGTTGCTGAAGACGGACGGCGTCGTCGGCCGTCGCATGGCGCGGCGAATGTCGGCGAAGAGGCCGAATGTCGGCCCGGAGCGGATGCACAGGGCCGCCCCGGCGGACTCGTCGGCGGAGAAAGCGAGGTCGGAGTCGCGACGGGACAGCGCGTCGGCCACGGTGTTAAGGCGGCCCGGCCGATACTCGACGGAGAAGTCAAAGCCGAAGAGCTTGCTGATCCACTGGTGCTGCGGCACGGTCGACAGCCGTTGGTCCAGCAAAAACTTCAGGCTGTAGTGGTCGGTGCGTATGTGGAAGGACCGTCCCCACAAGTACGGCCGCCAATGACGAACGGCCTGTACAAGGCCAATGAGCTCCCGCTCGTATGCCGCCAGCTTAAGATGACGCGGAGCGAAAGGCCGGCTGAAGAAGGCGAGGGGCCCATCGCCCTGATGAAGCACAGCGCCGAACCCTGCACCCGAGGCGTCACAGTCCACCACGAACGGGCGGTCGAAGTCGGGCATCTGGAGGACGGGGCCCGTCGTGAGGGCCCTCTTGAGGGCCTCGAACGCCGTCGTCGCCTCATCGTCCCAGGCGAAAGCGTCACGGCGAAGCAACCGCGTGAGGGGCGCCGCGATGAGCCCGAACTCCCGGATAAATTTCCGGTAGTAGCCGGCGAGGCCGAGGAACCCGCGGAGAGCCCGCAGCGAGTGAGGTGTCGGCCATGCAGAGACGGCTGCCACCTTGTCGGCGTCCATAGCCACCCCGTCGGCCGAGATGACGTGGCCCAAGTAGGCCACCGAAGGCGTCCCGAACGAGCACTTCGAGCGCTTAAGGTGGAGGTGGTGCGCTCGAAGCTCATTGAAGACGATGGCGACGTGCTGGAGGTGCTCGGCCCAAGACGCACTGTAGATCAGAATATTATCAAAGAAAACAAGCACAAACCGACGTAAGTAGGGCCTGAGGACGTCGTTCATCAGAGCCTGGAAGGTCGCCGGGGCGTTGGTGAGGCCAAAGGGCATCACCAAGAACTCGAAGTGGCCGTGATGAGTCCGAAAGCCGTCTTGGCGATGTCATCCGGGTGCATGCGCACCTGGTGGTACCCCGACCGGAGGTCGAGTTTGGTGAAGAAGCGCGCCCCGTGGAGCTCATCGACCACCGGAATAGGGAACTTGTCCTTAAGTGTGACAGCATTAAGGGCACGGTAGTCGATGCAGAAACGCCATGTGCCGTCTGACTTCCGGACGAGAAGCACCGGCGCGGTAAATGGCGAAGTGGAGAGTCGGATGATGCCTGCCGCGAGCATGAGTGCACACTGCCGCTCCAACTCATCCTTCTGCAACTGTGGGTAGCGGTAAGGCCGTACCGCCACCGGCGTGGAGCCTGGCAGAAGATGTACACGGTGATCGTACGTGCGGGCGGGCGGCAGCCCCTCTGGCTCGGTGAAGATGTCAGCGTGCTGCTGGAGGAGGCTCTCCAATAGTGGGTGCTCGGCCGTGGCGGTGGTCGCGGCCAGCTGGAGTGGAGTGGTTGGGGAGGCACCCCCAATGCCGTCCCACCGAATGCGGCGGCCCAACCGCCAGAAGGTCATCGTCAGCGCGTCGAAATCCCATAGAATAGGACCAAGAGTGCGCAAGAAGTCGACGCCGAGGATGAAGTCGAAGCAGCCCAAGTCGATGCCGGCGCAGGTGATGGTGAACTGCTCGTCGCTGATAGTGATGGGCACGTCGCGGGCGAGCCCGTGGCAGCGGAGACGGTCGCCATTAGCGACTGTGACTCGTAACTGCTCACCGCCGGTTGGCCGTAATGCAAGGCGCCGCATGGTGGTCTCCGGCAGGAAGTTATGCGTGGACCCTGTATCCACTAGGGCCACCAGGCCCTCGCCCTGGATCATGACCGGTAAGAGCATCGTCCGTTCATCACGGATACCGGCCAGCGCGTGTAGGGACACCACGAGGGCGGTGGCCGGGGCGGGCGCGGGTGCCGCTGCGGGCTCCGCAAGGGCTGGAGCGCCGAGGCCATCCTCCAGTGTCTCCTCCTCAGTTTTGTCTGTCGTCTCCAAGTAGAAGAGGCGGGGACAGACATGGCCCGATGCATAGGGCGCATCACAGATGAAGCACAAGCCCAGGCGTCGGCGTTCCAGCTGTTCTGCCTGAGTGAGGCGCCTGAATGGCCGGGTCGGTGCCGGGGTGGGTGCCGGGGCGGCTGTGGACGACGCCAGTGCTGCCGGAGACGGCCGGGGAAGCTGTCGGCCCCCACGTGGCGCGGATGGACGCGTTAAGGCCTGGGCTCGCTGCTCGAACCAATGCTCAAGAAAGCGGAAAGCGTAAGCGAAGCGGAAGGCCACAGCTTAGAGCAATGGGCGCAGCTTAATCGCACTTAAGCGTTTTTTGAAATTGGCTAGAATTTAACAGATTTTAAATGATATACACATGAAAATAGGAAGCTTGGCACATGGGTAATTGAAGTAGCATCTGAAATACAGTTCACACAATAGCAAATACATATCAGGTTCGCATAGCAAGCAAAATAACAACTAAAATGCAGTTCAGTTCAAATAGACGTAACCTAACAGATATCATGTGGACAGAATTTTGCCAAAATAGGAAGGAAATAGTTCTTGAACATGGCCTAGTAATAAGATAAATAGCATATTGCCATTATTGCACAAGCAGACCAGCAGAATTAGTACAAAAATTGCCAAATTTTGGTCAAATTTAAATTAAAAACGCTTAATCTACCGCTTAGGGCAAAAGCGAAGCGCTTTGCCATCGCTCAGCGCTTAATCGCGCTTAAGCGTCGCTTAAAACGCTTTCTTGAACACTGGCTCGAATGCCCGAGCATAGTACATGGCCGTCTGAAGGTCTTGGGGCCCCTTCATCTCGACGTCCACGCGGATGTGGTCGGGAAGGCTGCCGATGAAAAGCTCCGCCCGCTGTAAGGCCGTCACACCGGGTGCGTGGCACGCCAGGGCCTGGAAGCGGTCGGCGAAGTCCTGCACCGTGGAGGTGAACGGCAGGCGGCCCAACTCGGCCAAGCGGCTCCCGCGGACCGCTGGCCCGAAACGAAGAAGGCACAGCTCTCGGAAACGATCCCACGGGGGCATGCCGCCCTCGTCCTGCTCGAGGGCGTAGTACCATGTCTGGGCGGCCCCGCGAAGATGGTAGGAAGCCAGCCAAGTGCGCTCCGACGCGGGTGTGCGCTGTCCGCGGAAGAACTGGTCACACTGGTTGAGCCAGTTAAGCGGGTCGTCGGAGCCGTCGTATGTGGCAAAGTCGATCTTGGCGAACCGGGGCGGCTGCTGGTGTGGTGCGCCCTGGCCCACTGCCTCGGCGGTGCGTAGGGCGGATGATGGTGCGCGGTCCATGGTGGAATGCCCGGCGTAGTTCCCGGTGGCGCCCGACGCCTCGGGCTGCAACGGGAAACCGGACGGCGGACGGGCCTCCGAGTAGGCTGATGGCGGCCCGTGAAGCCAGTCAGGGAGTGGCGATGGTGACGACGGAAAGCGGACCTCCTGGACCGGAAGCCCGCTCGGCTATGACCGGCCCAGGTTAGGGCTGGGATGGGGCGGTGGAGGACCCTGCTCCGTGGCCGCTGGAAGGGACGGCGCGGCTGGAGCCGGCGCGGTCCAGGTGGTCCACTGCGGCCCCGTGGTGGCGGCGAGTGGCGCGGTTGCCGTCGCGAGCGACGGCGGCCACTGTGGCCAAGGCGGCGGTGCGGCCGCCAGGGCGGGGAGCGCCGGGTAGCCTCCGGTGATGACCCCCGGTACCGAGTACCATGGCAGCGCCTGCGGACCCGCGGCCATGGCTGGATGGAGTGGTGGAGGCGGCCCGTACGGACTTGCCAAGTAGAGGCGGATGCCCTGGACCGCGGCGACGAGGTCGTTGAGGACGCCGGCCATTGCCTCCTGTGTGAACTGCTGCGGCTGCGGGGGAGGTGACGGCGGCGGCGTATGTTGGACGGGGGCCGGTGGCCGCCCGTGGCCCGGCGCGGTGCCGGGTGCCGGGAGGGTCGGCGCCGAGAGCGAGGCCGTGACGCCCGGCACGGAAGCAGCGGCGGTGGAGGAGTTGGCGGCAGCGGCGGTGGTGGAGTTGACGGGCAGCGGTGGTGGTGGCGGCGGTGGCGGAATTGGAGGTGGCGAAGACATGGTCGAAACCCGAGTACCTGATACCAAATTGGTAGGACTAGGGTTCCTACCGGCTCTACTCCGTAGGTTATACGGGCAGAACAGCGGAGGTCGGGGGCGAGCTCGCGAGCTCCGGCGCGTCGGCGCCGTCGCGAAGGAGGAGAAGGGCGGCGGCGGTTAGGGTAGGAGGCGGCTAGGGTTTCCGGCTCCTCTGGAGCCGGGCAATAGGATAGAAATATCTTTCTTGCTTGATCTCAAACGATGTCTTACAACTAGTATTTATAACTTTAGCCTAAGATAACTTGCCTAAAATAACTTGCCTAAGATAACTTGTGGGTCAAGCCCCTAATACTAATGCCCGGTGGGCCTCTTTCGGGTATAGACCAAACCGGTCATAACAGTTTGGTACTAAAGGCTTTGTTGTTGTTGTCGTCGTTTTAGTGCAGATCACAAATCAAGTGGTGCCTTCACAAAACATTGAAGATACATAGTGCGCTCTGACAAGAACATGTAAGGTTTGTTTTGAATTTTTGAAGCTTCAAACACACACTTAAAAGGGAGCATATGTGCTCGGTATTAAAAGAACATGTCCGGATTGTAGAGGTTTTACTGGGCAAATGTAGGTGGGATAGAAAAGGACTGTAATGCATGCACTACAAAAGATGGGTGCTTACGACTGTCCAACAGGGACATTTGCACCAGCAAATAAGTTGTACGACTCCGTTTTCTCTCCAGTCAAACCAACTTGCTATGTTATGTAGAAGTGAGTAGGACACCTTTTTCTGTGATTTTTTTTTGTTGAATCCTCATGGAGGTGGTTGGCAATTGGATAATAGCCTTTTCCCTGTCTTGGTAAAGGTGGCAGGAAAGTTTGTTCTGTATGAAATCTAACTTTTTCATTGGTTAATTTCTATGCTAGGTGGTACGCAAAATCATGTTTTTCTGTTCTTTCCAGACTTGTTTCACTGCAACCCCACAAAGGTACATTACTACTTCAAATCTCCAGTACAGGTGGCAGCAAGCTTCAGTACATTAAATCTATTTTTCATAGGCCAGTTTTTTTCCCTCTCATCAACAAATTATGTACAAACAGGGCTCTTTTTAATTATTTACTTTTCTACTATAATTGAGTCCATCTCCACACAAGTATTAATATTTAACATCTCCCCTATGTCAATGAAAGGAAGTGGCTCGCTTCCCTTCTATTCACCTAAGGAAAGGAAAGTCTCATGTAGTGATATCTTGTATATTAACAGTGTGGAATTTCTAGAACGTGCATAAAGATCATGGATTTTGAGTCGCTCGACTAGTCGCGACTAGTCTATGAGTCACAAAATATGGTCGACTCAGCTTAGTGTCGACTCGCGACTCAGAGTCGCGACTAGTCACAACGCAGGCTCGACTTCTTCCAAGTCGCTGCCCCAGAGCGACTCGCATGAGTCGCGACTCGAAAACCATGATAAAGATCATGCATAAGAAATTCCCAATTATCCACCCTTTAAATGTTTTCATAGATCAATTTATTTTCTATGTGTTACAAGTTGGGAAAGAGTTGTGAAACATTGTTCAAGCAATTTTAAAATCCTACATGGCTACTACTGTCATATCTTCACACGATCGATGAACTGTGCTGTAGCACACTTTTAACAGATATAGGAGCATAATACAAACTGATTCGCATTTTCACAATCACCACAATAGCATACTTGAGATTAGCATAAAATGCTTACTTTATATCTCCGCCCGATTTCCCCGCACCCTCTTCGTCATCAGACTCAAAATCTTCCAGCTACAGTTAATAGTGCCACCAATCAAGTTAAAGAAGAAAGGAATTTGGGTTAATGTGCTTCATTAATTAAAAATGTGGCATATATAGCACTATAACTGTCAAAAGGAGCACAATGGTCTATGCAGTAGCTATAAACATATGCGTGCAATGCATTTCCTGAACTAGCTCTAGCTGTTAAGTCATTTATATTGCACATTCAGAAGAAAATTTGGCTTCCCTTGCTGAATTACTTATGGTTCTACATCTTAGATTCTATCAGCTAAAAATCATTCCATGTACATAAAGAGAGTGTGTGAGTACAAATTACTTACATCCAAATCGTCATCTTCTTCATCATCACCCCCATCATCTTCATCCACATCCTCCTCATCACTATCGTCCTCCATCAAGTTCACACTTGCCTTCTTCTCTCCTCCCTTGGAACCCCCACCGTACTCCTGCTCCTCCCCCTCCTCCAGAAACTCTTCCAGCTCCTTTATCTTCAGGAACCTGTCCTCCACCCCGTTCCCTTTCTTCGCCCCTAGCTCCTCCGCTTCTTCATCCTCCCCCTCCCCCGATTCCAACTCGTCATCTTGTCCTCCAGGCCATCCTCATTCTCCTCCTCCGATTCGTCGCCCTCTCCATCCTCCTCCTCGTCTGACGGGTCCTCCTCGGCTTCAGCGGGCTTGGACGGCGGAGGAGCAGACGACGGCAGCGCAGGCGGTTGGTGCTCGAGGCGGCGGAGCTGGCGGTGGAGGTGTGGGAGGAGGGGGCGGGAGAGCAGCTCGCTCTGGGACCAAATCTGCTCGGCGTCGAAGTTGGGGCCGGCGAGGAGGTTGGGGAGCGGCGGCGGCTGCACGGGGGAGACAACGGCGAGCGACGAGTGGAAGTGCTTCAGAGCCGCCCGGGCGGCGGCGGCGAGGTCGGCGGACGGGGAGAGGTAGACGGACGGGTCGGCGCGTCGCAGCTGCTGCAGCGCCACCTCGCCCTTCTCCGCGGCAAGCGGCTCGTCCAAATCCGTGGCCATTGCCGTGGTGGCCGGGAGCGAGGCGACGCTGGGAAAGAGAGGAGGAGCAGGCTTGGGTTTTTAGGGTTTTGACGCGTTGAGCCACAGGCGGGCTATGGCCTTTATTACGATTTGGTCCTCAAACTCCACTCGAAATGTCAAATTCGATGCAAAAATTTGTTGTTTGCTGAGAGAAAGCCCATACACAACCTTTAACTTTGCTTCGGTTCAAATTTCACCCTCCAAGCTCATAACCAGTTCATAATAATACAACTACAGTATAAGATTAGGAATGTAGATTGGATCACATAAAGCTCATTCTGTATCCTTTACCATGTTTATTTGTCGGATTCAGAGCGAAGCAGATAAGAATTGGATATGGATTCGAATGCATGTCAGACTATAGATTTAGAGCGGAAACGAGAGGGGGCTCATACCATAAATTGGCAAAATATATTGGTAAATGTTGCAAAGAGACATACAGTTATATCTATGATGCAAACAACGTGAACACAAAATTTATATAGAAAAATCATGGATTAATTAACTAGCGTTCATGCAGACTCTTTGCCTCCATCGGTTGGACCTAGGTCGACAACTTTGTCCATCGTGGTGGACATCCAAACTACCGAAGAGATGAGATCGGCGACACTGGACAGGAAGACATTTGCTATTGTGACGATGATGACTTTGTATGTGACTATTGTGTCGGCTATAAATCATAACCCCACATAGAGTGGGTGGTTGCTAGAGTGAAACTATACGGAGCTGCAAAAGTTCCCCTCCTCACATTATGATGTGGAGCACCCTACGGTCATCCCATAAACACTACACCAACTCCCTAAACACGAAGTGGTCCTATAAAAAGAGCTCATGTTGTTAAAAAAAGAGCTCATGACCCGTCATTGTACATGAAGTGAACTCGCTCCTTATTGAATCTCACTTCTCCACATGAGAGACATGGCTATTACCACAAATGGAAATGCAATGTGTACTTAGGTATCAAGAAAACGACCATGGAGATGCTAACAACAATGGATGAGACGGCACAAAAGCGGAGCAAGTAACACAAGCGGAGGAGCCGCTAAACCGCATCAGCCATTGGACATCCGGTGCAACAAGAAGACCAGTGACTGGAAGAACCAGCCCCAGATGAAACCAACAACGACTGGACATCTGGCGAGTATCGAACATCTAGCAAGCCCCGAGCGACCGGAAATCCGGTGCCACTGTCCAGAAGGTCCAAAGAAGAAATTAACAGAAGTGCGATACCTATCAGACGTCCCGTCCCCCGTGAGCCACTAGACTTCCGGTAACCACCGTACATCCAGTACCCCAGGTGCGACCGAACATCCAATAGCCACTAGGCATTCGGTACTGTCTGCACATAGATTCGATGGTTTTGGCCCATATGCCCCTCTCTCACCCCCTTGTCGGTGTACTAAGATTGGGTCATTAGTACCTCAGACATATGCACAGGCAGTAGCAGCCTCCCCGACGGCAGGGCTTGTCAGAGGACAACTAAAGACAACTCAAGATCAGATTACAAGAATACAAAGAAGATCTCCGAGATAGAGGTCGGAAATACTGAAGATCCAGCTTGAAGATACGGCAAGATCCTTGTCGGGGGGGCTGGCGAAGACCCGCCAAACCCCAAGCACGGCAAGCTCCGAGCCCGATAAGAATCCCACTACTTTGCCACCACTCCACCTCATCGACTAGGTTGTCACTTGTCAAATAGGTGTCGAGTGGGCATGTAGTTAGGTGAGTCTTGTCTGGGCACGTGGCAGCTCGCCGCCAAAGATATAGCTTTAATGATACCCGTCCCAGGATCGTGTCAAGAAAATAAAAGGTAGATGGGCAAACAACACAGAAGGAGATACCTCCTTGTCGGGGAGCTCCATCCATAAGACACCTCACAACGCAATTAATGTGTTTGTCCTAACCCGCCAGAGTTAGGTATTTGGCACTGTAGCCACTATTTACAATGCTTATTTACCATTTTGCCACTATGGTGACCCTTAGTCTATAAAGGGAGGCCCATGGCTACCTTTACAAATGTCGAACCCTGTCCATTTGCATGTGTAACTACACCTTTCAAGCACCTTGTTGGGACATGCACACCTTGTAACTGGACATATACACATCCAATACACAAAGCAGGAGTAGGGTTTTACGCTTCATAATGGCCCGAACCTGGGTCTCCGGCAAGTACATACAGAGATTTAGCCATGTGCAGTGCAGCATTCCCGACATCCATCCTACAGCTATCATTGCCGCATTCCGCATGAATGTGAGGAACCGCAAGATGCGGGAAGAAACAATCGTGACCAAAGTGAGGGATGTCGTCGAGCTCTATGCTCTGGCTGACAGATGTGCACCTGCTGAGGAGGAAGGAGACTTCCCGGGGAACATGCTGGAGCAAAGGTTGACTCAAAAGATGACGATGCTGCCCAGCCCCGAAGAATAAGCGTCGTAAGGGCAACAAGAAGCACACGGGAAAAGCTGTGCTCGTTGTAGAGGGATCCGGCAACAGTGGCCCCGCCAAGAAGGCTAAGGACGAGAGCTCCGGCAAGGAAGTTGTCGGGTGTGCCTCGTGCCAAGCCTTGGTGGTTGCTGACCAGACCAGGGGCTCCGGCAAGCAATAATGCAAGATTATTGTTATATTTATGACGCAAACAATGTGAACACAAAGTTTATTTAGAAAATCATGGATTAATTAATAGCATTCATGAAGACTCCTCGCCTCCACCGGATAGACCTGTCGACAACTTTGTCATCGTGTTGGACATCCAAACTACCAACGATATGAGACCGACGACGCTGGACTGGAAGACGCCTGTTGTTGAGATGGTAATGACTTTGTATGTGACTATTGTGTCGGCTATAAATAGTCCCATAACCCCGCACAGAGTGGGTGGTTGCTAGAGTTAAATTATACAAAGTTGCAAAAGTTCCCCTCCTCGTATTGTGGTGCGGAGCACCCTACGATCATCCCCATGGACATTACACCAACTCCTCAAACACCAAGTGGTCCTATAAAAAGAGCTCATGTGCGCGCCATTGAACATAACTACATAAGGTGAGATCGCTCCTTATCGAATCTCACTTCTCTACATGCAAGACATGGCTACTACCTCAAATAGAAATGCTACGTGTACTTAGGTACCAAGAAAACGACCATGGAAATGCTAAGAGCAATGGACAAGACAGCGCGGGAGCGGAGCAGGTAATACAAGCGGAGGAGTCATTGAACCGCATCATCTGTCGGATATCTGGTGCAACGAGAAGACCAGCGACCAGAAGAACTAGTCGCAAATGAAACCTACAAACACTGGACATCCAGAAAGTAGCGAACATCCGCAGGTCCCAAGTGACCGGAAATCCAGTGCCACTATCCGGAATGTCCAAAGAAGAAATTAACAGAAGTCTAATGCCTATCATACATCCGGTCCCCCATGAGCCACCAGACATTCGGTACCCCAGAGCGACCGGGCATCTGATAGCCACCGGACATTAGGTACTGCCTGCGCGTAGACTCGAGGGTTTTGGCCCATGTACCCTCTGTCACCCCCTAGACCATAAATACCCCTCCCCTTGGGTGAATTAAGGTTATCAAAGCATGGATGAAGAACTAGAGAGAGCTTTGCTCCTTTACCCCATCTTGGAGGCCAAGACCTCCGTTGGAAAAGATCCCAAGTGGATTCAAGACCCCTGCAAGGGAAGATCCACCATGGATTCAAGCCCCCATCTCTCGTAGAGATTCAAGAAGAACTGTCTACCATCAAGACCCCACTTCCTCTTGGATTTGGGATGAACTTTGCCTTGTTCCTCTTTTCTCTTAGATTGTTTGTGTATGCTTATGGATCTCATGTGTTTCTCTATCTAGTGGATGTGTGATCGGACTTGTATTGAGTATTCCTCCTTGTGATTTGTGTTCCTCTTGAGTCCCCTCTAAGTTTTGGAAGATCGGTCCACTAGTGTCCCTTACCCTACATCATCTTGGATCACAACAATGTTGATCACATCTTCGAGTTCTCCCTCTTCACCTTTTCTAGCCAATTTTATTTTTTACCCAACTTTGAAAATCCCCACCAAAAATAGCCATACCAAAAATCTTGCAATTTATTGGTTTTGATGAGATTTGGTTGGATTTGATCCATGAATTTATTGTGTTGTGAGTCGATCTAGATATATTTTTTTCCACCTTCCCTCCGCTTTCCCCCATAAAATCCACCCCACCCATCCATGCAATTTTTTGTTATTCCACCAAATTCACGAGATCTAGATTTTCCAAGTCAACCACGCACTTTCCCCAACCACCAGACATCCCGTACCGATCAACGCACTGGACATCCAATCAACCTTGTCCAATAAAAAGGAAGGAGAAATAGAGAAAAC